CAAACTTTTATAAAACCTGATAGTCAATCTTAAGATCAGTAAGAGAACAACTGACTATCATTTAATAGGAAACAATGATACTACCAGTGAAATGTTCTTGCCTTGGGGTTAAGAGAAGGAATCAAACCTCTAAATGTAACTACCACCTTTATTTTTTTTTCTTTTCCTTTAAGTTCCCATACAAAGTAATGGGTTTCAGCATGGTATTTTCTTTTTTTTTAAATACATTTTTTATTTTTATGTGTATGAGTATATTGCCTGCACGTATGTGAGTGCACCCATCTCGTGAAATGCCGTGGAAGTCAGAAGAGGGCGTTGGATTCCCCTGGAACTGGAGTTAAGGATGGTTTGTAGCTGCCATGTGGGTGCTGGGAATCGAACCTGAGTCCTCTGCAAGAGCAGTCAATGCTCTTAACCGCTGAGCCATCTCTCCAGCCCCTCAGCATGGTATTTTCATACATATATCCCCTCTTACTTTGTTCTTAAAATCATGCCCCCCCCTGCCCTCCCTTGAACTTTTTTTTTTTTCTTTTTTTTTTTGAGACAGTGTTACTGTGTAGCCCACACTGGACTTGGACTCATGATTCTCCTGCCCCAGGCCCCCAAGTGCTGAGATTACAGACATGAGCCACAATATACCTGGCTTTAACTATCAATTTTTAGGAAATCTGGTGGAGAAAGAAGTTAGTATTAAGAAGTCAATCAGTCAAAACCAGAATGTGTTTCAAGGACAAAGAATTGAATTCCTTGGCTAACCATACTAGAAAAAGAGGTGAGTCCTGTTACATAAATTAAATCTTTACCTGTTAAGATGTATACTCTAGGGGCTGGAGAGATGGCTCAGCGGTTAAGAACACTGACCGTTCTTGCAGAAGACCCAGGTTCTAATCCCAGTACCCACATGGTAGCTAACAACTGTCCGTAACTCCAGTTCCAGGGCATCTGACAGCCTCTTCTGTCCTCCGTGGACATTGCATGACACGGGTGCACTTACTTACATGCAGGCATAATACTCATACACATAAAATAAAAATAATAAATATTAAAAAAAAGAAATCTCCAAAAAAAGACATATACTCTAAAGAATTACAGATGATATCTATAATTTACTTAAAAATACTCTAGCACAAACAAAATATAGAAGGACATAAAACAATAAAGTTAATTATTCAAACTGGGTGATAGGTACATGGGTTTATATACTAATATCTCTTTCACTAGACTCTGAAAATGTCTATTAACATAAATTTCAAAAAAGAAAAAGAAGGGCAAAAAACAGAGAAAAACAGTTCCATAGGTGAAACAGAGATGGATGACTGCTTCCAAAGTATCAATCTATAAAAGCTAATTTAGGATAGAACCAATGATACTAACAACAGAACATTCAATCCAATATGTCAGGCTTCAAATGAGTCATGGCAACTGATATAAAGAAAAGCTCTGCTAGGCATGGTAGCGCACACCTTTAGTCCCAGCACTCTGGAGGCAGAGTCAGGCAGATCTCTGTGAGACTGAGGCCAGCCAGGTCTACATAGCCAGTTTCAGGCCAGTTGGAGCTGCAGGGAGGCCTGTCTCAAAAAGCCCTGACAGTGTTAACATGTGTGCCCAGAGCCCTGTAATCCTAAATACCCCAGGAATAGTGTAAAATAACTTAAAACATTGCAGACTGTAGAGTCATTTGAATAATATAAATAGCCTACTGGAGCATTAATAGTTGTACTGAAAGGAAAGGGGAAAGGGAGAGCATTGTAAAACAAAACCAAATAATAAGAGCCTGGAGAGATGGCTCAGTGATTAGGAGCACTGGCTGCTCCTGTGGAGAACCCAGGGTCAGTTCCCAGCATCCACATGACAGCTAACAACTGTCCATAAGTCTGGTTCCAGGAGATCCAATACCCTCTTCTGACCTTCACAGGCATGACGTGATATCGGTGCATTTATATACTTGCAGGCAAAAACACCCGTATACATAAAACAGAAAAAAATTTTTTTGGTCTTTTTGAGACAGGATCTCCCTGTAGCCCCAGCTGTCCTGAAACTCACAGAGATCCGCCAGGCTCTGCCTCCTAGGTGCTAGGATTAAAGGTATGCACAATCATGCCCAGCTAAAATAGAATTTTTTCTTTTTTTTTTTCGAGACAGGGTCTCCCTGTAGCTCCAGCTGTCGTGGAACTCACTATGTAGACCAGGCTGGCCTCGAACTCACAGAGATCCACCTGCCTCTGCCTCCCAAGTGCTGAGATTAAAGGCATGCGCCACCATACCTGGCCAGAAATATTTTTTTAAAAATATTGTTAGAAAAAATGATGAAGGGACCTTTGGGGAAAAGCTTGTGCATATGCAATGAACTCATGATAAAATCATGCATTCCTATGACAAAAGATGAAGGCCTGATTGGTTTTTATTCTGTTTTCTGAGGCAGAGCCAAGACTATATAGTTGGAAGTGCTCACAATCAATCTAAATCTCCTCCACGATCTGGATAATTAGTTCTCAATCAACAAGCAAATGAAGATGTACTTTATATTCACATGGTTCAACTGTTATCTCTCAGACATGTGACCCTAGTAGAATGAATGATGTTTTCTTTTTAAATGGGGAAGGTTTGATATAAAGGATTTTGGGTTTTCTAAGACAAGGTCTTACTTTGTGGCTAAGGCTGTCCTGAAACTCACTATGTAGCCCAAGTTGGCTTCCAACAGGAACTCCTGCCCCAGTCTCCTAAGTGGTAGGATTTACAGGCATGTGACACTATACCTAGCTTAAAGAATTATTTTTATTAGCATGTGCATAATATACTCTGATCATATTCAACCCCTTGATAATTTCTCTTATCCCATTCTCCCCCCTCCTTTTCTCTTTCCAAACAGTCCCTCTTCTACTTTGATGGGTTTTGTCTTCATTTTCATTTTTTGTTTTTATTCATCTCTTTTTTTTTTTTTTTTTTTTTTTTTTTTTTTTTTTTTTTTTTTTTTTTTTTTTTTTTTTTGGTCTTTTTGAGTTCCACCTGTCCTGGAACTCACTATGTAGAACAGGCTAGCCTTGAATTCAGAGATCCGCCTACCTCTGCTTCCCAAGTGCTGGGATTAAAAGCATGCACCACCATGCCTGGCTTATTCATTTCTTTCTTTCTTTTTTTTTTTTTTTTTTTTTTTTTTTTTTGTCTTTTCTGAGACAGGGTCTCCTTATAGCCCCAGCTGTCCTGGAACTCACTATGTAGACCAGGCTGGCCTCGAGCTCACAAAGATCCACCTGCCTCTGCCTCCCAAGTGCTGGGATTAAAGGCGTGTGCCACCACGCCAGGCCATTTCTTTATTTTTGAGGCAAGACCTAGTTTTCTATTCTGGGCTGGTCTTGGACTTAAAATCCTCTTCAACTCTAACTGCTAGGATTACAGGCATGAGCCATTATAGCCAGTTTAATTTCCCCATTCTTGGAGAGTCTCTTACCATCTGTCAGATTAAAAAAAAAGAAGTGTGCAGGAACATATATACACAGTATGAAGGCCTGAAGTTGATGTCAGATGTCTTCCTTGATCACTCACCATTTTATTGAGGCAGGATCTCATGCTGAATCCAGAGCTCACCAATTCTAGGTAGTCTAGTTAGCCAGCCAGCCCCAGTGAGTCTGTCTCTGCCTCCTGAGGGCTGGAATTTCAGGCAGCTGCCACACCTACCTGCTGTTTCTGTGGCTGCTGGAGACCTGAACTCCAGTTTGCAAGCTTGCATGGCAAAAGCTTTATCCACAGAATCATCTCCCCAGTCCCATGAATTTTTTGTTAGTGGAGATCAGAAGTTGACACTGTTCTTTTTTTCTCTACTGCTTTTTCATTGATTTGTTTTGTTTTAAATTTTTACTTTTTTTAAAACACTATTTATTTTATGGTGTATGTGTGTATGTGTGTCTGTGTCTGCTTGACAAAGGCAGCTCTCTCCTCCTATCATGTGAGTCCCAGGAATCCAACCCATGTCTTTAGGCTTGGTGGCAAGCACCTTTACCCGCTAAGCAATCTCACCAGCCCTTCTTTGCCCTACTTTTTGAGACAGGGTCTCTCAGTGAAACTGGAGCTCACCAGTTAATTTCCTAGACTGCCTGGCCAGTGACCTCTTGGGATCTACCTGTTTTCCCCTCCCCAGAGCTAGGGTTACAGATCTGTACCACCTCTTCCCATGTAAAATTCTGAACTCAAGTCCTCACACTTGCAGGGTATGCACTTTACCAATGGAACCAACTCCCCAGCTCCTTGTTGCTAATTTTTTTTTTTTTAAATCTATATTCCATACATGAGAGCAATGTGGCTTTCTGAAAGACGGTCTCACAGTGAAGCTCAGGTTGGCCTTGAACCAGGAATCCTGCATTAGACTTATTAGTCATTACTTTTTATTATTTTGTCACTAATCCTCCCTTCCACCCCAATCAGGCACCACTTTGTTCCAGAATATTATTATTTTCTTTATAAAATAAAAGCAGCATCTTCCTGTCATAGGCAAGGAACATTGTCAACAGACATCACTCATTAAGAAATATGTTTAGGGGGGCTAGAGAGATGGCTCAGCGGTTAAAAGCATGGACTGCTCTTGCAGAGGACCCGGTTCAATTCCCAGCACCCACATGACGGCTGTGAACCATCCTAACTCCAGTTCCAGGAGAATCCAAAGCCCTCTTCTGACCTCCATGGCATTGCACGACATGGGTGCACTCACATACATGCAGGCAATACACTAGTATACATAAAATAAAAATAATAAATAAAAAGTTTTTAAAAAAAGAAATATATTTAGGAGTGTCTAAAGCTGAGGATCCGAGTGTGTCAGACCAATCTCCCAACTCAGAAGACCGTAACAGTCACTGGACTAATGAATAGTTTAAAGGAAGATAAGCAAGTCAAAGTTTATAGGAAATAGAAGTTGGTGAAATTTTCAGATCCACTAAACTAGATTCTCAGCCACTATCCATTTAAATCACCACAGAAACAAAATAAGGGACAGGAGACAGCTTTACCTCCTGTGGATTTACTGCAGTTAAGACAGAAACTTCATATGACTGCCTCCCTGACTGCATGGTCACCAAGTGATGTGTCACATCAGGCACTGAAGACAGGGGACGTGGGGATCCTTCAGTAAGCACCTCTGTAAAACAACAGAAAAATGAATCTTCAGTGAAAAGAATCCACATGTATGCCCACTTGCCTCATCAAGCCAATGATTAAAAACTCTAAAATTTGTTGCCTAAAAAACAGCCCCACATTCTTCTATTTCTTTCAAGTAACTCCCACCTGATAATCATTATCAGTGGATTTAGAAAGTACCACAAAAGGAGGGTGGGAAGTAAAAAGCTAGAAATATGAGTTAACAATTTTTCAATATAACAATTTAAAATATTATGGTTTAAGACTGTCACCTGGATTAAAAAGTGTATGAAATAGGGCAAAAGCTCCACAGGCAGGCAGATCAGGGAACCAAAGCTAGCCCTTGAAGTCAACAATACTGGTATAATAGGTCCAGCAACTTAAGCTAAATCTGGCTTCAAATTCATATCTAGTGTCCCTGCTTCCCCTGGACTTGCTTCATCAAGGCTGGCAAAGCTCTCCATGCAGTTTCTCTGCCTTCTGATTTGGTTTGCACCAGTACTGTTCATGAAACACATTTTGGGTCTTGTAAGCTCGATATAGAACTTACACAAATATGGTCACTTACACCCCAAACTGAGTAGGATAGAATAACTAAAATACAGGATCTCACACTTAATAGATGTTCATCGGTGGATCACCATGAAGATCTTCTGGAACTAGTTTATAGATAAACCACTTAGCCCTCAGGCAAATTAAAAATTTCTTCTAGAGGCTTTGTAGCTTCATCTCTTTTAGACTATACTGTATAATTTAATATTTGCTAATATAGGGGGCTGGAGAGATGGCTCAGCAGTTTAGAACACTGTTCTTGCAGAAGATCTGGGTTCGAATCCCAGCACCCACTTGGCAGCTAACAACTGTCTGTAACTCTAGTTCCGGGGATCCGACAGCCTCTTCTGTCCTCCTAGGGCATTGCACGACACAGGTGCACTTACCTACATGTAGGCAATACACACATACACATCAATAAAAGTAATATTTTAAAAAAATATTTGCTAATATAATTTCTTCTATTTACTCCATCTTGTTTCATTCATTGATGCTAAGTTTTAACTTCTCAACTAGATTTTAAGGTCCCTATGTCCTACTTTTGTCTTTCCCATGGTGCCAGGCACATAGTAGGCACTGAATAAATGCATGCTGACCTCACCTGGTACGTTTTTGAGAGAAGAGGGCCTGGCCTGTGTAAGCTGGGTGAAATTTCTATACCAGAGGAGCATTTGTTTCCTAGAGAGCCCTTTCTTTTCTCCAGAAGATATGGCTTTTGAAGGTATGGAGAAATTGCTTTTTATCTCCTCTGTAAAACCTGGTTATGTTCTGTTTAAATGTTTTAAAAGTTAAGTTCTTCGATAACTGCAATAGGAAAGACAGAAATAGTTGGGCTAAGATGCTAAGGATTACAGATAATTTTCTTTTTCTTTTCTTTTTTTTTTTTTTTTTTTTTTTTTTTACAGGGTCTCCCTGTAGCCCCAGCTGTCCTGGAACTATGTAGACCAGGCTTGCCTTGAACTCAGAGATCCACCTGCCTCTGCCTCCCGAGTGCTGGGACTAAAGGCGTGCGCCACCACGCCCGGCTAAAAATTTTAAAATTTAAAGAAAACAAATTCACTTATCCACCCCAGGAAATAAAAACAAATCCTACTAAATTACAACATAGAAATAATATTAAAACCTCCATTTTGGAAATACCTTCTTAATCCCCTAGTTGCAACTTGTTTCCCCCAGATAAAGCAGAATTAGAAGTCTTACCATCATCAACTCCCAGGATAGAACTGGTGTTTGACAGATTCAAGGACTCTCCACCAAGGCTGGACTGGGAATTCATAGACACCAGGTTTTTACTGGGTACCGAAGCTTCTTCAAGCAAACTACTGCCCATTAGTGGCTCAGCTGCATAGAGAAGAGGATGTGAGAGATATAGCAGTCAAGGCTGTACCTGGTCCTCATCTCCCTCACAAGGAAGCTGGCCACCTCTTTCAGAACTAAAGTTAACCTCTATCTTGAATGCTACCTTCTATTTCACCAACTTTCAGGTAACAAGAATAAACCTAGAAGGGAAAGGTTGATCCTTAGGGATAATTAACTTTGATTGTGATAGGCTTATGAAATGAAATATATACATCCTTAGAAAGGAGTATTTGGAATTAAAATACTCAAGGAAAAACATGGAAAAGAAAAAAGCATTTTTACCAATTTTAAAGTAGGGAAAGAGGCAGTCAAAATTGCTACATAAAGGCTGGAGAGGTGACTCAGCAGTTAAGAACACTTGATGTTCTTCCTAAATACCCAGGTTTGATTTGCAGCACTCACATGGCAGCTAACAACTGTCTATAACTCCAGTTCCGGGAGATCCAACACCCTCTTCTGGCCTCTGTGGGGCATTTCATGCATATAGGCAAGGCACTCATACACATAAAATAGTAAATTTTTAAAAAAATTACTAAATAAGTCTGGGTGTGGTGGTGCACACCTTTAATCCCAGTACTTGGGAGGCAGAGGCAGGCAGATCTCTATGAGTTCAAGGTCAGCCTGGTCTACATAGTGAGTTCCAGGACAGCTGGAGTTACAGGGAGACCTTCCTCAAAAAGATAAAAAAAAATTGCTAAATAAAAATGCTAAAGGCTTTATTCATCTGGAAATCTTTCACCTTCAGCCTTTCAAATGCTGGGTCATAGGGAAGCACTAGTTAACAACCTCAAACTTACTAGGGTAACATTTACTTACTTAATTTTTGTTTTCTAAGACAGGGTCTCATGTAGCCCAGGCTGGCCCCAAACTTACAAGGTAGCTGAGGATGGCCTTGAACTCTTCATCCTTCTACTTCTACCTCCCAAGTGCTAGGATTAAAGACATGTACCACCATGCCTAGCTTTTTTGTTTCTTAAGATGGGGGGTCTCACTATAGTGCTCAGGTTGGTCTTGAACTCTTGGACTCAAATGATCCTCCCACCTTAGTCTTCCAAGTGTATACCACTAGAGAGATTATTATTTGTTTACTTATGTGCACACACAAACACACCTTTTTGTGGTGTTCAAATCCAGGGTTTTCTTGCTAAGCGAGAATTTTACTATTGAGCTACATGTCCAGCCCTTACTGGAACTTTTGAAAACTACGTATTCTGGGATCTTACAGCAGATCTCATTTATCAAGTTCTATTGTGGGTGCGAAAGGAACAAAAACAAGAAAATACATGTTTCAAAAGCTTGCAGATGTTTGTACTTAGTGTACAGCTGTTTATAAACCACGAACCCATCAAGTGAGACTAATTCTATCTACCCAAAACCAAACAAGATCTCCAGAGAGCCAGGGCAATGACTTGGCTGTTTGAAAATAGCCCTCTACTGTACCACACTTCTCACCAGTTTGCTCCTGTTCTTGACTCCCAGCTGCTCCCAGCTGCAAGTGATGCTTTCTCATATGCACATTCCTGCTCCCACTCTGAGAGAAGGTTTTTCCACAGACTTGGCACTGATGAGGTTTCTCTCCTGAAAAAGGAATCAGGTTAGGACAGGGCAGTCAAAAGACAGAGTACACTTTTGATGGCAAATGAGTAGACAGAAGATCTAGTGAAGACAAGAGAATAAACTAACCCTAAAAGGCTGCTTTTTGTCATACTACTTACCTTCCCAATCTCCCAACTTTCTGTACATGGGGAAGGCAGGAAGACTATACCAACAGGAGGGCTCAGCATGTATACTGGCTCCCAGTGCTAGTATTTTCCAGACCCAAACGGCCTTTCAAAACAGTCTCTTCAGCATGGGATCATGGCATATCACAGAAAAATACTTACATCTCTTTCCAAATTGTCATCTTCCATCAACCATTAGAATATATATCCACCTCAAGAATTCCAAACCCAGGTTTCCTGTCAAGACTCATGGTTGTCAATACTTAAAATGATGATTCTTTTTTTTTTTTTTTGGTCTTTTTGAGACAGGGTCTCTCCTGTAGCCCCAGCTGGCCTGGATTAGCTATGGAGACCAAGCTGGCCTCAAATTCAGAGTCCTCCTGCCTCTGCCTACCAAGTGCTTGGATTAATGGCATGCGCCACCACGCCTGGCCAAAATGATGATTCTTTTAACATAAATGACCTAAAATATCATGTCTGTCCATAAGTCCAAAACTCAGTCTCCACTCCACCTTCCCAGACAACCACACTTAGAAGATAAAAAATTCATTCCCACAGGTTAAAAAAAACCTCATGTCTAAAGGGACTGGTAGCTAGCATAAAGAACTAAAATGGCCAAATGGGGGCTATAGTAACAGAGAGAGTACCTTCCCAGTAAAAGGAGCAGCTGTTACTCAGTTCTGGCCAATGTTGTCAGATAAAGAGGCAGGTAGACAGACCTCTGTGAGTTCAAGGCCAGCCTGGTCTACACAGTAAGTTCCAAACCAGGTGGGACTACAGGGGGGTGACCTTATCTCAAAAAGACCAAAAAAAAAGGAGGGGGGGGAAGAAGCTAGAACTGAGAATTTTTAAATAAAATATCCCACCTAATAATGGGAACTAATTTACAATTGATAAAAACATTATGCACCACTTTTCATTGCCTACAAGAATACGAAGGACCATGGCCTCTGTGGAAGGGAATCTGCCCTCCATAGATGCATCTGCCCTTGGATCTAGCATTTCATTTCTAAATGCCACAAAGTTACAGTGGCAAAATGTGAAATAATCCACATAGGTTATTTGCTGCAACATTATTTTAAATAGTTAATGACTAAACAAACCCAAATATGTATTAAAGAGAATGATAGAACAGTTATATGCCTACAGTCCCAGCACTTGGAGACAAGGACAGAGGGATCAAAAGAAAAGGGGGTGGGCTAGAGAGATGGCTCAGTGGTTAAGAGCATTTATTGTTCTTGCAGAGAACACAGATTCAGTTCTCAGCACCCACATGGCAGTTCACAACCATCTGTAACTCCAGTTCCAGGAGATCTGACACCCTCTTCTGGTTTCTGTGGGTACTAGGCATGGATGAGGTGTAGGCAAACACTCATTGAAAATATAAAATGTTTTTTAAAAAGGAAAAAAAAGTACCAGACCAGCTTAGGCTACAACAGTGACTTCAAGGAATATCTGGCAACAACGTGAGCTCTCCATTTCTTTCTTTCCTTTAAAAAAAAAATTATCAGGAACTGGAGAGATGGCTCAGTGGTTAAGAGCATTGACTGCTCTTGCAGAGGACCAAGGTTCAATTCCCAGCATCCACATGATGGCTAAAAACCATCCATAATCCAGTTCCAGGGGATCTGATGCCTTCTTCTGACCTCCATAGGCATTGCACAACAGGGGTGTACCTACGCACATGCAGGCAACACACTCATATGCATAAAATAAAAATGGTAAAATTTTCTTTTTTAAAGTAAAATAAAAAGGGCTGAGCATGCACGCATGCCTTTAATCCCAGCACTCAGGAGGCAGAGGCAGGCGGATCTCTGTGAGTTCAAGGCCAGCCTGGCCTACATAGTGAGTTCCAGGACAGCTGGGGCTACAGGGAGACCCTATCTCAAAAAGACCAAAAAAAAAAAAAAAAAATTCAGTTGCATTTCTATGTAGTACCAATAAACAATCCCAAAATAAAGTCAAGGAAACAACTTAGTTTGCACTAAAAGCATAAAAGCACCAATTTCTTGTTTTGAAAGCTTCCAATCCAGCCAGACATTTGTGGTACATGCCTGTAATCCCAGAAATCTAGGAGGTGGAGGCAAGAGGATCAGAAGTTGGAGATCATCTTGGGCTGTAAGAGATCCTGCCTCAACAAACAAACTAAATCCCTAGCTCCCACTGAATTGCTTTGCTGTTCTCATCATTAATAATTTCTAGGTTCCCCTCTCCTCTCCACTCTAGTTGTTCTGGCTTCCCTTGCCTTCTCATGGCCAGCCACTTCAACAATTTCCTGAATTCATTCTTGGATCACTTTCTACCCTGATTTTACCTTTTCCTGGGCAAGTCTGCTCCATAAGCCACTCTCTTCAGTGCCCAGTGTTTAAATTGTTGAACAGTATTGAAGAAAAGTGATGAAAGTTCTTCCATTTATTCTTAGTTGTGCACTCACTATTTCCTAATCATTTTATTCACTCTAATAAGTTTATTCAATCAACAAATTACTACTACCCTAGAGGGTAATTTTCCTACCTCTTACAGGTTAGTTGATAGCCTCCTTCTAACAGTCACCGATATCTTCCAATACTTTTCTCACTGCTTTTCCTAAATACACAAGCCAGTCTGACAGTGAAGCAGCCAGCTTTCCTTCCCTATCTTCATTACCATGCTTCTTGAACCAACAATCTGCTGCTGCCTCTGCTTCCATACTACATTTAATTGACTGAGGGATGGAGAGATTCTTCCACTGAGTTTCTTTTACTGTTGACCACACTAGAAGAGTCCTCATCTCTTCCTACTTCGTTTGTGTATCACTGCCAGATTAATCTCAAGTAAACTGAATTCTCGTCAGGCTGCTCCTTCAGAAGTCACCATTGCTCTTTCTAGCATTCGAGGCCCTTACTAAGCAATCTTTCTAGTATGCTTTAATGTAACTTACCGAGTTTCACAGGAATTAATTTCACCAAGTACAGACATCTTCCCTGAGCTGTACCTGACTTTTTATTTATTTATTTCCTTTTTTGAGAAAGGAAATAAATTTTTTATTGACCTTTTTTGAGAAAGGTCTCACTAGGTAGCCTAAGTTGGTCTCAACACATAATCTTCTTGCCTCTGCCTCCTCAGTGCTAACTTCTGTTTAGGTAGATGGGGAAAGAAGGACAGGAGATGAATATCACTTTAGCTTTTTCTAGTAAGCGTAAAAAGTCTGGATGTGATAGAATATTATCAGAAATTTTGAAAGACTTTACCAGGCAACACTAGGTCATCTGTATACAATGAACAAGTTCAAAGAATTATTTAATAATCCAAAACAGAAAGTGGGTCACTAAGTCTTTCTCTTCTTCTATACTGCTACCATAAAGTTCTAATGGCCAAAGGCAGTTTCTGCTAGAATGCTAACTGAAGCAAGACTGGCAGTGTCTTCTCAGGTGGCAGCAAGCTCACAGGTGCTGCTGCCCTTGACATCAATCTTCTCACTTTGTTCTTGATTTTGAAATCCTCCCCTAGGGGAATGAAAATGTTAGTACAGGATCCATATTTGATACGACCTATTAAGGATCTCAGAAAAAGCTCTGGATCAGGAAATATGTCAATAAATCTGATCTCTCACTCTTGAGAACCTTCATTACCTTTATAGTGGATATTTTGGGTTTTTTTAGATTACTACATACCACCTTCCCACCCTTCTGTCTCTTACTATATTTGAAATCTATGAATGGCACAGGTTCTAATACCTGAGTGAACTACCAGGTGTTTTCGGAGGCTTGAATACTCAGCAAAGGAACGACCACATCCTTGGGCTTCACAAAGGAAAGGCTTCTCTCCTAGAGACAGAAAATACGTCAAGGACTCAGTATTCTGATAATTGACTATCTATACTCTTTCCTCATTAATTTTTTAAAATTTATTTGTTTTTATTTTATGTGTATGAGTGTTATGCCTGCACGTATGTAGGTGTACCCATATTGTACAATGCCCAAAGAGGACAGAGAGGGTGTGGGATCCCTCGGAACTGGAGTTACAAATGGTTCTTAGCTGCCATATGGGTGCTGAGATTCGAACCCAGGTCTTCTGCAAGAGCAGCCAGTGTTCTTAACCACTGAATTATCTCTCTAGCCCCTCTTTCTTCATTAATTTCAACTGGGCTACCCAGTAAGTACAGCCTCTACAAGTTCTAGAATACAGACAATGGACAGTTCTGCCCTTTTGCTGAGAAGGGATGTGCCTGAGCCTCATACTTCCTTCTCCCTCAGTTTAAAGAAAAAAAAAGTAAAGCCCAAGCTGAAACTACAACACTGTTTTGTTTTGTTTGGTTTTTTCGGTCTTTTTTTGAGACAGCGGTTCTCTGTAGTTCCAGATGGCATGGAAATCACTATGTAGACTAGGCTGGCATTGAACTCATAGAGATCTGCCTGCCTCTGCCTCTTGAGTGCTGGGACTAAAGGCATGCACCACCATTCCCAGCTGAAACTACAAGTTTTCAGCTTAAAGCCTGATCCTTCCAGCTTTAGCTATCCCACTCCCTCTAATGATATCAAGAGCAACAGTGTGGGCTAGGGCATATTATCAGTGGTCCAGGACTTTCCTAGAGTGCTTGAGGTCCTGGTTCAACTCTCAACACCACAAAAAAAGGAAGAAAGGAAGGGAAGGAAGGAGGGGGGTGGAAGGGGAGGGGGAGGGGGAAGGAAGACAGAGGGAAGTAGGAGGGAGGGAGAGGAGAGAGAAGGACAAACCAGGGAAAAATCAGTTCATACTTTGAAGAGTATTTTAAGAGGATGTTTGATGTTATCAGATGCTATGAAGATGAGCAGCATGAAATAAAGAGGTCAGTGACTTCACCATGAGGCATGGTAAACTCTCTTTGGCTATAAAGTAGATGGTTTTCTATTTTTTTATTTTATTTTATTTTATTTTTTTAGTCTTTTTGAGACAGGGTCTCCCTGTAGCCCCAGCTGTCCTGGAACTCATTATGTAGACCAGGCTGGCCTTGAACTCACAGAGATCTGCCTGCCTCTGCCTCCTGAGTGCTGGGATTAAAGGCGTGCTCCACCACACCTGGCTGTTTTTTCTATTTTTTATTTAAAGATTTTTCTTTAGATAACTACAGTTTGCTGTTTAGAGAAAGCTGAAAAGAGAACTATTCTAACCCAAACATATTCAGAAGTTATGTTAATTTAGAGAGCGTCATGCCTAGAAAAACTGTGGTTTAAGCTTGGGCTTCTCTTTTTTCTTTTCTTTTCTTTTCTTTTCTTTCCCTTCCTTCCTTCCTTCCTTCCTTCCTTCTTTTCTTGAGATAAGGTCTCATTCTATAACCCTAGCTAGCCTAGAACTGACTGTAGATCAGGCTAGCCTTGAACTCAGAGAGCTCTGCCTGCTTCTAACTCCAAGTGCTGGGATTACAGGCATGCACTGCCACACCTGGTTTTGGGCTTTTTAAATGTCTTTTAAAAAAGTTTTTATTTACTTTTATTTTATGTGTATGAATGTTATGCCTGCATGTAAGTGCACCCATGTAGTACAGTGCCTGTGGAGGACAGAACAGGGTGTTGGTTCCCTTAGAAAGGGAATTACAGACAGTTGTTGGCTGCCATGTGGGTGCTGGGATTTGCACCCTGGCCTTCTGCAAGAACAGCCAGTGCTCTTAACTGCTGAGCCGTCTTTCCAGCCCCTTTAAATGCCTTTTAAGTGTACCTCCTGTTTTGTTTTTTTTTTTAAATGTGTATGTGTGTATTGCTTGCATGTAGGTAAGTACACCCGTGTTCTGCTATGCCCACAGAGGACAGAAGAGGCTGTCGGGATCTCCTGGGACTGGAGTTACAGACAGTTGTTAGCTGCCATATGGGTGCTGGGATTCAAACCTGGGTCTTCTGCAAGAACAACCAGTGTTTGTAAATGCTGAATCATCACTCCAGCCCAACTTCTGTTGTTTTAACAATGCAAAATGAATAAAGAGACAAAGGGGCAAGAAAGCAAGGAAGTTACACATTCTTACATGATCCTCTGGGTTCAGTGATTAAGCTTTGGCAAGAACACATCCTTGACAAGTGGCTCAAAAAAAGCACTCTAAGAGTCTTAGACTAAAAGTAAAGGATCTTTGTTTTGCTCCTTTGATATTGACATGCTATATAACACAACAAGAAAGCAAATACCTCAAATTTGTACTTTTCCCTTCCCTCACTTGGTGCTCTGTTAAGGTTTGTATGATTCAATAAATGCTACTGAGTAAACGATAACAATACAAAGTTCAGAGAGATTAAAAAAACTGAATTTTTTTTGGTCTTTTTGAGATAGGGTCTCCCTGTAGCCCCAGCTGTCCTGGAACTCACTATGTAGACCAGGTTGGCCTTGAACTCACAGAGATCCGCCTGCCTCTACCTCCCCAGTGCTGGGATTAAAGGCATGTACCACCATGCCCGGCTTGAAAAACTGATTTTTTTGTCCATGTTTCTTCGTATCACTATCCTACAAGTCAGACTCCTGGAGGCAGAAATGAACATTACACATTCCTCACATCCAGATCAAGTTGGATAGATGTTACTAATAATGAACTGAAAGCACATGAGGCACTGAAATAAAGAAAGATCTTTTCTTCAGAGTCCAGCAACAATCTACACCTCCTCCCACCTGAGCCTCTCCTAAGCACAGGCAAACCAGAGCAGAGCCATGGAGACTGCGAAAGGAAATGCAGAGCAGCACGTACCTGTGTGGATGCGACGGTGGTTCTTCAGGTTTCCTGCTGTAGTGAACTGCTTACCACACCCAGACTCATGGCACATAAAGGGCTTCTCCCCATTGTGTGTCCTCATGTGCACCTTCAGCCTCTGTAGCACATAGAAGCTTTTCCCACAGCCTTCTGCAGGGCAGATGAAGGAACGATCATTTCTGAAAAAATAATCATAAAAGCACTCTTTGAATATACTCTTAGCTAGTGATGACCAGTCAAAACTCCTACTGACTCTCAAGGCAGACAGTAAATTCCAAACCCAGATACATCAAAATAACCTGGAGAGTTTATTAAAATTATGCCCAGTTCCACCCCACATCTAACATTAACTGCATACATTTAAGACAATGTCCAAGGCTTACATATTATTTTTTAAGTTCTCAAAGAAACTGTTTTTTTTTTTAAATATTTTATTTATTATTTTTATTTTATGTGTATGAGTGTATTGCCTGCATGTATGTGAGTGTCCCCATGTCATGCAATGCCATAGAAGTCAGAAGAGGGCTTCGGATTCCCCTGGAACTGGAGTTAAGGAGGGTTCGTAGCCACCATGTGGGTGTTGGGAATCGAACCCAGGTCCTCTGCAAGAGCAGTCAGTACTCTTAGCCATCTCTCCAGCCTCCAGAAAGTATGTTTTATGAGACAAGAATTTTTGCTCTTTAAGATATTCAGGTGCTAGCAGCGCTGGCGAAACAGTGCAGCAGTTAAGAGCACTGCCTATTCTCCTATGGGTCTGGTTCAATTCCCAGCACCCACGTAGTGATTAACATCTGTATGTAACTCCAGTTTCAGGGGATCCAATGCCCTCTTTTGACCTCTGTGGGTACTGCAGAATATGGGTGCACTTACATACATGCAGGCATTACACTCATACACATAAAATAAAAATAATTTTTTTTTTTTTTTTTGCTCTTTTTGAGACCTGTCCTGGAACTCACTATGCAGACCAGGCTGGCCTTGAACTCACAGAGATCCGCCTGCTTCTGCCTCCCAAGTGCTGGGATTAAAGGCCTGTGCCACCATGCACAGCTAAAATAAAAATAATTTTAAAAATTGAAAAAAAAAAATATACAGGTACTAAGTCTGGCATGGTGGCACATTCATTAAGTTCAGCACTCCCAAGTGAGGCAGACTCAGACAGATCTCTCTGAATTTGAAGTCAGCCTGGTCTTCATAGGGAGTTCCAGGTCAGCTATGGTTATATAACTGATCTTATCTCAAAAAAACAAAGTAAGTGGGGCTAGAGAGATGGCTGCTCTTGCAGAAGGCCTGAGTTCAAATCCCAGCAACTATATGGTGGCTAACAACCATCTGTAACTCCAGTTCCAGGGGATCTGACACCTTCTTCTGTCCTCTGGCAGGCACTGCATAACACGGGTGCACTTATTTACATGAAGGCATAACATTCACAAACATAAAATAAAAATCAATGAATCAGCCAGGCATGGTGGCACACACCTTTAATCTCAGCACTCAGGAGGCAGAGGCAGGCGGATCTCTGTGAGTTCAAGGCCAGCCTGGTCTACATGGTGAGTTCCAGGACAGCTGGGGCTACAGGGAGATCCTGTCTCAAAAAGACCAAACATACCACACACACACACAAACACACATATATATACACACATATATAAAATCCTGGAGAGATGGCTCAGTGGTTAAAAGCCCTGGCTGCTCTTCCAGAGGACCCAGGTTCACTTCTCAACTTCTCAGCACCCACATGGTGGCTAACAACTGTCTATAACTCCAGTTCTAGAGGATCTGACACCCTCTTCTGGCCTCTGCAGGTTTGCACACACATGGTACACTTAGATACTTGCAGGCAAAGCACTCAGATATATTAAATAAAAAGGAATAAATAAATATATTTTTTAAAAATATGAGAGCCCTAAGCCTGGTTTGGTGGCAAATGCCTATAATCCCAACACATGGGAGATTGAGGAAAGAGCATCCTGAGTTCAAGACCAGCCTGAGTTATATATATGAGAATATATAATCCCCAAGGGCTGGGGATGTTGTTCAGTGGAAAGCATTCAAAGACCTAGTTTTATCAAAAAACCACAAAAACAAGAAGCAAATAAGAGGATGCATAAGGATACAAGCCTATGCTTATGTTGGCCTATATGCCCAACTCTTGGGAGAATGAGTGTTAAAAGATATTTTTTAAGCTCAAGATTTTGGAAGGAACTTGAGCAGTGTGAGATTTCACTTAAAACAAAACAAAAAACCCCAGGGGGATCTTGATTTTTGAGACAAGATCTTGTTCTATGTCACCCAGGTTGACCTCACACATGTGATTCTCCTACCAGCCTCCCATATACTAGGATTACAGGTATACACCACCACACCTGACTGAAAAGATAAGACATCTTTGTCAGCACTCCCTGCTTTCCTTTAGTTTGTTCGTTCGGAGGACAAGCTCCTCTGGAAAGGTTAACATTCTTAAGCTCCAAACAGAAGATCTCACGAGGCCTTTAATCCCAGCACTCGGGAGGCAAAGGCAGGTGGATCCCTGTGAGTTCAAGGCCAGCCTGGTCTACATAGTGAGTTCCAAGACAGCTGGGGCTACAGGGAGACCCTGTCTCAAAAAGACCAAAAACGAAAACAAAAACAAAAAAACAGATCTCGGATTTGCTTACCGATGAGTTTTGAGGTGGTACTTATAGTGAGCTGGCCACACAAATGTTCGGTCACAGCCTTCAACTGTGCACTTGAGCTTCTTTTCCACTTGAGGAAGGGGCCCGGAATCTTTGGGTTGCCCATCACCAGAACCAAGGTGAACATTTTCTCCTGTAACAGAGTGATATATTTATAATTCAGGGAAGGATCCTGCTCAGATACTTAGATTCAAACAATAAAGCTCTTATATTTCATTCCTAGTGACCATTAACCAGAGATGGGGTTTGCCTTTTCTATGGACAGAAGTACTCTACATCCTCATCCCCTTATTCCATTTAATCCCAGCACTCAAGAGGTATAGACAGGAGGATCTTTGTGAGATAGAGGCCAGCCTGGTCTACATAGCAAGTTCCAGACCAGCTGGGGATACAGGAAGAGCCTGTCTCAAACAAACAAACAAACAAAGAAACAAAGGCTTCCTTTTTCATTATTTCATAAAGCACAATGTTAAGAGTCAGGTATGAGTGCATGCCTGTAATCCCAGCATTTGGGAGGTGGTGGCAGGAGGATCAGGAACTCAAGTTCATCCTTGGTTATGTAGTCTCAACGAACCCTACCCCCCACCCCCCAAAAAAAAACCACCAAAAAAAAATCAAAGCACTTTATATTACATAGTGGGAGCAGATAGACCACACACAGAGCAGATGCTACAAAGATAACTTGATAACTTGAAGTTCTGGTAATAAAAATCCTGCATTTTTAAGGAGAAAATTGTCACTCTGGCTTAGTGTGAGGTCATGGCACATTTCTGTCACATAGGCATTCTTAGATTTCTGTCTTATGAAGTCAGTTTGGTCATTTACCATTTAATGAGTGAGAAGGACCTTCTAATTTCCTCTATCACCCCTCTTTAGTTATAAAATGTTTAAAAGTACTAAACCTCAGAAGATTTTTACAATTTTAACTAAATTTTTATAAAAAACAAAGTATCTACTGACATGCTGCTGCATATAGAATAAAGGGAGGTAAGGAGCGATAAACAATACCTCCGTTAAATTTAAATGAAATCAGTTAATTAAACACTTATGTAAATTACAGGTGTTCCCTTCCTCTCACTTTCTTCAAGATATTGTTGGACATCAATAGAGCAAAACATTCATGTCACTGATTCTGCCATGTGTGTACTGAGTTTCTTTGTACTATATATAACTTAGGAGTAAGATGTACACTTCCAAATTTCCTTCTCAAAAGCAAAGAGTAAGATATATATGTTGTTCTTATCACAGTCCCTGGAAACAGTTGATCAAAGGCAGTTTCTGTCCCATCTATTAGTCTTTCTCATTATGCCCTACATTCTCCTTGCTGTATTTTACCAAGTATCAGTCATAAAACTAATTGTTCCTACATCAGGACAAAATTTAGGATGCCTCCTATTAGTTAATATTAATTTTTTCTTTCATAATATTGTCCTAGATTTTTTTTTATGTGTATGAATGTATTGCCTGCATGTGTGTAAGTGCACCCATGTTAGATGCAATGCTCATGGAGATCAGAAGAGGGTATGGGATCCCCTGGAACTGGAGTTATAGGTCGTCTGCCCTGAAGATTTCTTTTTCTATAAAATTCTAGTAAAACTGTAAAAGCTTTTTAAAAAAGTGTTTAACTGATAAAATTAAAATTAACCAAGACAGGGGCTGGAGAGATGGCTCAGCAGTTAAGAACACTGGTTGTTCTTGTAGGAGACCCAGGTTCGAATCCCAGCACCCACATGGCAGCTAACAGCTGTCCATAACTCCAGTCCCAGGGGATCTGACAGCCTCTTCTGACCTCCTTGGGCATTGCACGACACAGGTGCACTTACCTACACGCAGGCAAGACACTCATACACATAAAATAAAAATAATAAACAAAATTTGTTTTTAAAGTTTAAAAAATAAAATTAACAAAGACAAAAGTACATGCACTATAAACAAAATTACCCATCAACTTTGGAGATCCAGCTAATGAGTTTTAATGAAAGAGCTATAGAATCCTTATGTTAATCCAAAGATTGACATCAGTAAACAGCTGGAGCATAATACAGGCAATTTTGTACATACATTAAGAGAGGCTACTGAGGGCCAGGAAGATGGCTCAGTAGATAAAGGCGCTTGCTGCCACACCTAAAGATCTGAGTTCAATCTCTGGAACCCAAATGGTAGGAGAGACTCAATTCCCACAAGTTATCCTCTGACCTCCACATACAAACTGTGGTGTGCAAAATGGGAAAAATAATAATAATATATTATTATTATTATTATTATTATTTTTTGGTCTTTTGAGACAGGGTCTCCCTGTAGCCCCAGCTGGCCTGGAACTCACTATGTAGACCAGGTTGGCCTTGAACTCAGAGATCCGTTATATTTATATTTTATATAAATATGTATGTGTGTGTGTGTGTGTATATATATATATATTGAGTTGGAAACAGTTGTACATGCCTGTAATAGTAGCAAAGGTTGTGGCAGGAGAATCAAGAGTGTGAGGCCAGCCTGGGCTATATAGTGAAACCCTGTCTTAGGGAAAAAATAAGTTTAAAAAAACACCTCTGGTGCCGGGCGTGGTGGTGCATGCCTTTAATCCCAGCACTCGGGAGGCAGAGGCAGGCGGATCTCTGTGAGTTCAAAGCCAGCCTGGTCTACATAGTTCCAGAACAGCTGGGGCTATAGGAAGACCCTGTCTCAAAAAAGACGAAAAAACACCAAACAAACAAACAAAAAAAAAAACCAACCACCTCTGGTATAATTATAATAAAATGAATACACAATGGATGGACTGTGGAGGTAGCTCAGTTGGCAATATGATTGCCTAGCATGAACAAAGTCCTGAGTTTGAGTCCCAGTACTGCTCAAAACAGTGCATGGCAGCAAATATTTGTAATCTTGGCACTTCATAGGTAAAGGCAAGAGCATCTGAAATTTAAGATCATCTTTAGCTACACAGAGAATGTAGTCTGGGTTACATGGGATCCTGACTTGAAAAGAAGAGAAGAGGGGAGGGGAGAGAAATGGGGGGGGGGAAGAAAAGATAGTAGTATACAGATGCTATGAAGAGGCAAAAAAAGAATAGAGAGGTTTAGGTGAGAGAAGAATGGGAGGGTAGGCAGAGAAGGGGCTAGGGGAGGGATAATACTAAGGATGTCAGAAAAAGCCATATGGAAGCCAGGCATGGTGGCACACGCCTTTAGTCCCAGTACTTAGGAAGCAGAACCATGGGATCTCTGTAAGTTGGTGGCTAGCCTGGTCTTTATAGTGAGTTCCAGGTCAGCTGGGGCTACAGGGAGACCCTGTTTCAAAAAGACCAAAGAAGAAAAAGAAAAACCCATACGGAAACCTACTATTTTATAAGCTTCCTAAATATATATTCATAAAAAGAGTTTAATTGGAGTTACCCTACACAAGGGATAAATGCTCTTGATTGTCCACCAGACCTCAATGGTAAGACCCTATTGCTGAAGATACCACACACTCTGGTCACAGAACATGGAAAAATCAAGTCCTGACCAGGAAGTGTCCTCCATGCAGGTTGCTGGAAAAAAAGTCATCAACAGTCTTACTCAGCTGTGAACTACAATAATGACCTTGGTAGCAAGATATTCCAAGAGTGCCATGAATGTTATAGGGGTAACCAACTACTTTATGATTGGACTTAAGCCTGCTCCACAGGAGGAAACACCAAGAACCTATGGTTGGGGAGCTCATAGGCCTCAGAGGTGAACCTACTACTATTATTTTGCTAAATGGACATAGTATTAAACTGCCTTCTAAATTTGTATCTCTATACTTATAGATTAGTGCAGCTCTCAGTCCTCATCAGAGTTTCTTTGTGTAGTGGATGGTGGTTTATGTAGGAACTCACATCAAAGTAGAAAGAATGTGTTAGTACAGTGTTATGCCACAAATGAAACACCTATCACCCCCCTCCACAAAGGCTTAGAGGCTATCAAAGAAGAGGGCATGGAAAGATTTTAGAGTCAGAGGCCAGGGAGGATCAGAGTAAAACAATGTCTTTTGAATATGACAGGGCCATAGCACCCATGAATTCACAGCAGCTATGGTCGCTTGTACAAGACCTTCACACTCAAGCCAGCCAACATTCTAGAATGGAGAAGAGAGGCCTTATGAACTCCCACCCATAACTAAGGAGCTACTGACAGTTGATGGCTTCTAGGGGAGGGAGAGTCACTTTTCCTTAAGTATGTGGCCCCTGGTAGGTTAATCATACTCCAGTTGATGGCTCCACACATAAATATACAGATAGCACAAACAGGATTTGCTGGGTTATTAAAAAAAAATAAACAAGGACATGTAATTTTGAGGGGATGGCAAGGTGGGGGGTAGATCTGAAGGAGTTAAGGGGAGAAGCTGAGGATGAATATGATCAAAACACATTGTATGAAATTCCTAAAGTATTGATAAAAATAGTATATACAAAAAAATAGGCAAGACTAAGAAAATGCTAGAATCCATCCTCTTCATCATTTAAGACCACCAATACATGCTCAAATATGAGGCATTTTTATATTCCCAAAAAATAAACAAACAGGTGTGGTGACATATGGTTGTAATACCAGCTGCTAAGATGTTGAGGCAGGAGAATCACAAATTTGAGGCCAGTCTGGGAAACTTAGCAGGATGTTATCTCAGAATAAAATTTAAAAAACTTACAAATGGCAGCTCAGTAGAACACTTGGCTAACATGCAGGAGGACTTTGCATAACCCAATACAGAAAATAAAAAATAAAAAAAGAAAGATTTGTGTTAAAATACATTCAAATACTGAATAAAATTACATTCTAAGTTAGTGGGTAAAAAGCAGTATTAGGAATGTATGTGTGTATTATATAATTCAAAATGTACATGTATAACCAAACACCTGAAAATTTCAATGTCAAAAAGTTAGGAAAAAATTTAAAAAGACAGGGAATCTAAGCAAAATCGAATTGTATTTTTGTCCTATATTTGGGCTTGCTTCATATTCAAGAACACAAGACACTTGTTATGGTTGAAAGGTAACTTATTTTGAGTTAAATATTCATACAATGTGTTACTGATTGTAAAGCTTATACCTAATTACTCAGAATCTTTTTTAATCTCTGTAATAACTCACAAATAGGCAACCTATCTGATCTGTATGTTCCATGAAAAAATTAAAACTAAGGAAGGCTAGGGGATGGAAAGATGGCTCAGTTACTAAGAGTACTTGCTGCTCTTCCAGAGGACATGGGTTTAGTTCCCAGCACCCACACTGGGCTGCTTACAACTGCCTGTGACTCTAGATCAGGGGATCTAAAGCTGCCTTCTGGCCTCAATGGTGACCTGCATGCACATGATGCACATGCATGCACTGAGGCACATACACATAAAATAATAAATCTTAAAAAAAAAAACCTAAGAAAGGTTAAACTGTCCAAGGCAAGTAATCAATGTGGTGCAACATCTGGATCCTAGGCCTCCCTATTCTAAGACTCAAGTTCCTTCCTTACACTGCTTCTGATTGGCAAATATGGAATTATTTTCTTTTTCTTTTCTTTCTTTTTTTTTGTCTTTTGTGTCAGGGTCTCCCTGAATCTCCAGTTGGCCTGGAACTCACTATGTAGACCAGGCTGGCCTCGAACTCACAGAGGTCCACCTGCCTCTGCCTCCCAAGTGCTAGGATTAAAGGTGTGTGCCACCACGCCTGGTTGGAACTATTTTCTAAATGTGAGTGAAATACTGAAAGTTTCAGGATCCATGGATTGGCAAAAAACATTTTAAGAAGAATCCTTCCAAAAATGATTTGAATATGCCAGGTGTAGTGGCACGTACTTTTAATCCCAGCACTCGAGACAGAGGCAAGTGGATTTTTGTGAGATTGAGGCCAGGCTGATCTATATAGCGAGTTCCAGAACAGCTGGGGCTACTGGGAGACCCTGTCTCAAAACACAAAGAAAAAACAATAGTTAGAATAGATAGAACTAAGCCTGGGCTTGGTGGCACATGCTTGTAATCCCAGTACTTGGGAGGCAGAAGCAGATGGATATCTGTAAATTCAAGACCAGCCTGGTCTACATATCTACATAGTGAGTTCCAGGCCAGTTGGGGCTACAGGGAAACCCTGTATCAAAAAAAAAAAAAAAAAAAAAAAAAGGATAGAACTATTCCAAGCAGCACTATGACAGTCACAAATTAATTATTTGAAAATGAACAGAAGTGTGGAATTTTCTGTGGAGCTAATGTTTATAAAATTGGAATATTCTGAAATATCTATAGGATCCCTGAGTGTTCCATTAGAAATTATTTAGGTTTTTGTTTTCATTTGAATAGTAATTAGAAAATAATCCTAAGCATATTCTAGATCATCTGCAAGGACTCCAAACAGCTATGAACTGACATAAGATTTCAGTGATTAAACTTGATTAGTGATAATGATAATATTGAAATGCAGTAATAACTGAATCATCACAGGTTAAAGAAAATACAGAGAGAGACCTAAACAAAAGGTATTAATGATATGTTACATAAGCAAAAGTAACTGGTATAGAGGTGTTCTAAATGTACTTATGATTCTAAAACACTCAGAAGGCAGAGGCAGGCAGATCTGTGTGAGATTTAGGCCAGCCTGGTCTACATAGCAAGTACAGGCTGGCTGGAGCTACACAAAGACCTCCTCTTAAAAATTAAAAAAGGAGCTGGGTGTTGTGGCTCATACCTTTAATCCTAGCACTCGGGAGGCAGAAGGAGGTGGATCTCTTCTGAGTTCAAGGCCAGCCTGGTCTACGTAGCAGTTCCAGGCCAGCTGGGGGCTACAGGGAGACCGTCTTCAAAAAGACCCAAGGAGAGTTGGGGGGCGACACTAAGGGAAGGTGCCGATGGGGAAAGGGGTATAAAGATAATTAAGATGTTGTGCATGAAATACACAAAATTCAATTAAAAAGATTTAAAAAAAGATTAACTTCAGGATCTGCATTATTTTTTCTCTTTTTTTGAGACAGGGGCTATGGAGCCCATGTTGGCCTTGAAACTGCAATCCTCCTGCCTCAGCCTCTAGAATGCTGAGATTACAGGTTTGTGCCATCATTCCCAGGTCTTTAGATTTTAAAAGATGCTCTGTACATTACTTATAAGTTGAAAATTTAGGGGTTGAGGATTTAGCTCAGTGGTAGAGCGCTTGACTAGCAAGCACAAGACCCTGGGTTCAGTCCTCAGCTCCGGGAAAAAAAAAAAAAGCTGAAAATTCAGAATAAAAGTTTAGTTGATTTTGTACACAAAGCTGGCATGGCCAAGCTATTTTATAGAAAAATAGGACAATGTGTTTCTAGGCTTCCATTCTCATCAATAAAATAGCTTGAATTGTACACAACTCAAAACATAGCTACTGCATTATCCAAAACCTTTGTGTAGAATACCAGAAAGGAAAATCCCCAGAAGTCTCACCATTGCTGCTTGTTCTTGCATTCTTTGCTAGTTGTGCACGAGTAGCAGCAATCAAACTGTCATGGGCCAACTCCTGAACCCGGAGGAACCATGGAATACTACTGTCACTGCTCTCATTGGAGAGGAAATCATTTCCTGAATCCTCTGTCTCATCCTGTACAAATACCAAGTGCTCAGCTGAAGAGCCCAGACCTGGAAAAAACAATAGGATACAGAAAGGTTAGGCAACACATAATCCTGACCCAGAAACTGTGTCCTGACTCAGTTATTCCAGTTCCGAGTTTTTGTTCTTATAAATGATTAAAATATCACTTTTCTATTCAGCCCACAGGCTTATTGTTAACCTGTCTCCTCTTGTTTCAGAGGTGAAGTGTTCCTTCCTGGCAACCAGGCCACCTGCCAATTGTAACACCACCATCCTATTCTTCAGGCATTCTTCCCTGCATCCTTCCAGTTACATTCTCTCTCATCCTATTCCTCTTTATTGGCCAGTTTTTCCTTATAGACTTTAAATGGGTCCTAACTCAAGTTTCCCCTTTATATTTTAAAAATCCTATTACCCCAGGCCAGTGGGGCTACAGAAAGACCCTGTCTCAAAAACACCAGAACAAAACAAAAACCAAAAATGCCATTACCATTTTATCTGCTCCTTGAAAGTTTTTTGTTGCTGATGTTATTGGTTTGATTTGTTTGAGACAGGGTCTCACTATATTCCCTAGGTTGTCCTCAAGCTTATCCTGCTGCCTAAGCCTCGTGGGTACTGGGATTCCAGGTATGTACCACCATATCCTGATCGAGTCAAGTTTCTTGAACAAGTGTACCTTCTAACTTACGTATCCATTCACTTATCTTCTGTTCATTCCCCATCTCTTTAACTCTGATCTCTATCTCCCATTATTATTCTTACTAAAGTCACCAGATATACAATCTCACTAGACCATCCTAAAGTATTTGGAATCATTTAGTATCCATTCTTTCTTTTTAAGATTTTTTTATTTGGTGCATATGATTATTTTATCTGCATGTATGTATGTGCACCACGTGCCTGCCTGGTACCCAAAGTTAGAAGAGGGTACCAGATCCCCTAGAACTGGAATCATAGATGGTTGTGAGCTGATATGTGAGTGCTGGGAACCAAACCCAGGTCCTCTGGAAGAGCAGTAAGTGCTCTTATCCACTGAGCCATTTCTCCAGACCCTAGTATCCATTCTTCCTTTTTTCTTCCCTTCCTTAAGATTTATTTTTATTTTATGTATATGAGTCTTTTGCCTGCATGTGTATATGTGTACCATGTGTATACTTGGTGCCCACAGAAGCCAGAACAAGGCTTCCCTGGAACTGAAGTTACAGGTTGTTCTCAGCTGCCATGTGGGTGCTGGGAGCCAAACCTTGGTTCTCTACGAGATCAGCAAGTGCTCCTAACTGCTGAGCTATCTATCCAGCTCCATCTTTCTTAAAACACTTTCCTCCCTGGGGCAGGAGAGATGGTTCAGCAGTTAAAAGAGCATTGGCTGCTCTTGCAGAGAACCCAGGTTCAATTCCCAGCACCACACAGCAGCTAAAAGCTGTTTGTAACTCCAGTTCCAAGGGATCTGACGCCCTCTTCTGACCTCCCTGGGCATTGCACAACATGGTTGCACTTACAGACATGCAGGCATTACACTCACATAAAATAAGTAAAATATTAAAAAAAAATATATTTTCTTCCCTTAGCGTCCCACCCACCATTTTCTCCCAGTTCTCCTTGCTACTCTGTTGTCCTCTTAAATGTCCCCTTTTCCAGGGTTCCAGGCTTGCCTTTTTCTTTTTTTTTTTTTTGGCTTTTTTGAGACAGGGTCTCCCAGTAGCCACAGCTGGCCTGGAACTCACTATGTAGACCAGGCTGGCCTTGAACTCAGGCTTGCCTTTTCTTGTTATGCTTCAAACTTCTATGGAATCAAAGAATCCACAATCATTGTTTTATGTTTCCTGAACACCGAAGAGCACCCAATCTTCTAGTTCACAGCAGGCCTCTCTAAAACTCTTCTAAAGGATACCTCTTCTAGATGCTTCCAAAATCAAAGCATCAACAAATGTATATTGGAACTAATCATCCTCCCCCAAGCCTGTCCTTCCTATATTGACTATCTTGGTCAATGGCAACACATTAATTTCCCAAATAAGATATATTTCATTTGCCATGTGTGGTGGCACTCTGTATCCCAGCATTCAGCTGTACGAGGTGGAGGGATTCCAAATTTAAGACCAGTCACTACTACACAGAGACCACCCATTTCCAAGGAGCTTATGATTTTCCTATGTAGCACCTAACACCTATATAATATGACTTAGTATTTAGCACCTTTATAGGAGCAGACAGCAGTCTCATTTTGCAAACACAAAATCTGTTAATAGAGATGGCTTTAAGTTCTAAAGGTAGTCAGCCAAAATATGAAAGCAGATTTTTCTCAAATTTGGCAAAATTACCAGCATCTCAAAATTAAAACGAGAGGAAATGTTGACTCATTCTAGAGTCTTCCCTCTTTTTTCATACCCTCAGTTGGTTACCAGTATATACCAACTCTCTGAAGAAATCAAATAAGGCTTCTTTAAATATGTCCCATCTCTAACTTTTTTCCCCTTAAATATGAGTACAGTTCGGAAAAGATTAAAACATACCTGCTCTTGTTAGGTTAAGAAGAATAAATGAAGTGTTGTCACTTGGCTGTAGATCTTGCAACAAGCTAGGAGACTCTGGGGTGGACAAAAACTCTGGGGTCTTCTGTACAGTCTGAGCTCTTGTTTCCTCTCCGTCTGGGCCCACATTCACCTGAAGGCTCCTCAAAACAGCTGAGGAAGGGACCTCCTTGGAGGAATTGTTATGATTTGGAGTATCATCTAGTGAAGGAAAAACACCAAAGCTTTATGTAGCATTCAACTCCAAGGAGCTCACCATTTTGATAAATAGCACCTAAGACCCATTCAACTTCCCTTAGCAACCTACAAGAGCAAACAGCATTCTTATTTTTGCAAATACAAAAATTGATGCTGGGCATGGTGGCGAACACCTTTAATCCCAGCACTCGGGAGGGGCAGAGGCAGGTGGATCTCTGGGAGTTCGTGGCCAGTCTGGTCTCCATAGCGAATCCAGGCCAGCTGGTGCTACAGGGAGACCCTGTCTCAAAAAGCCAAAAAAAAAAAAAAAAAAGTCTCAGAGAAAAATAGACATGACATTAATTTCTAATGGTAATCAGTCAAAATGTGAGTAACAAACTTTTCTGAAACTAGGTATAACTAACAATTAACCACTCACATTTGGAAATTACACAATTTAGTTTTTATTAAGATTTCATTTATTTTATGTGTATGAATATTTTGCCCGCATGTATGTAAGTACACCATGTTTGTACCTGGTGTTCGTAGAGGCCAAAAGAGTGCATCAGATCCCCTGAAATGGGAGTTAAAAATGGGTGCTAGCTACCAAGTGAGTGCTAAGAACCCAACCGGGGTTCCCAGGAAAAACAGTAGGTGTTCTTAACTGTTGAGCCATCTCTCCAGCCTCCAACTTAGTTTTTTTGTTGTTGTTGCTGATTTGGGGGTGTTTGTTTTTGTTTGAGAAAGGGTCTGGCTGACCTGGCACTTCCAAAGATCTGCCTGCTTCTGCCTCCCAAGTGCTGGAATTAAAGTTGTGTACCACCATCTAATATTTTTCAAAGTCAAAAATTAGTATTACCTTTAAAAGTACAGCTGCATAATAAATACTAATTCAAGAACAGGATTTAAATTTATATTATTTTTCTTAGAGGTCCTTCTCCTTACTCCCCTCTACTTTGAGAGGCGGGGGTGGAGTGGAATGCAGCAGTACTGGGGATTGAACCCAGGTCTACATGTATGCTAGGCAAGAACTCTACTAACAGAACTACATCTCTAGTCCTCTCCTTAACTTATACAGCATATATATCACACTTCTGGTGAGTTATCACAGGGGAAAATACAGCCTGGGAAACCAGTGAATTTTATTTAACAATCAATATGTTTCTTTATAGTTCTGAGTTTATACTGAATGTAAATAAATAATTTAAAAGATTTACTCTCTCTTGGGGCTGGAGAGATGGCCCAGCAGTTAAGAATACTCGATGTTCTTGCAGAAGACCTGGGTTCGAATCCCAACACCCACATGGCAGCAGTTCCAGGGGATCTGACGGTCTCTTCTGTCCTCTGCGGGCATTGCACGACACAGGTGCACTGACCTACATGCAGGCAATACGCTCATACACATAAAATAAAAATGATAGAATATTTTTAAAAATTAATGAAAAACTCTGAAAAACATTATATGTTTTCAGCATGGTAGTATAATTCTTCATTATATTAAAACCAAAACCTCTGAATTTCTTCCCAGACCTTAGAACAAACTTGAGAGTAAATCTTTTTTTTTGTAATTTTTATTTTTATTTTATGTGTATGCATGTATTGCCTGCATGTATGTAAGTGCACCCGTGTTGTGCAATGCCCGTAGAGGACAGAAAAGGGGTTTGGATTCCCCTGGAACTGGAGTTAAGGACAATTCGTAGCCGCCATGTGGGTGCTGGGATTAGAACCTGGGTCTTCTGCAAAAACAACCAGTGTTCTTAACCGCTGAGCTATCTCTCCAGCCCATTTTTAAATATTTTATTATTTTTATTTTATGTGTATGCGTGTATTGCCTGCATGTAGGTAAGAGCACCCGTGCAGTGCAATGCTCGCGGAGGACAGAAGAGGCTGTCTGATCCCTTGGAACTGTAGTTACAGACAGTTGTTAGCTGCCATGTGGTGCTGAGATTCGAACTGTGGTCTTCTGCAAGAACAACCAGTGTTCTTAACCACTGAGACATCTCTCCAGCCCTGTTTGTTTTGTTTTTTGACACAAAAACAAACTCCCTGTAGCCCCAGCTGGCCCAGAACTTGCTATGCAGACCAGGCTGCCTCAATCTCAGCAGAGAATTGCCTGCTTCTGCTCCCTGATTAAAGGCATGTACCAGCACACCTGGCTATGATTTTTTTTTTTAATCTACTCATATGTTGATGGACACAGGTTAATTGCATATCTTGGCTATTGTGAATAATGTTTCAGTGAACATTAGGGCATACATATCTTAACATACTGATTTCATTTCCTTGGGAGATATATACACAAGTGTAATTGCTATCTCATCTGGTAACTGTACTTTTAGTTTTTTTGAGAAATTTCCATACATTTTTCCATAATAGCAACAAATGCACAAGGGTTCCCTTTTCTCTACATCCTTACCAACATTCGTTATTTTATTTTTTTTATACACCTAGGCATTCGAACAACAAGAATATTTTTGTTTCTGTTTTCATTTCCTTTATTATTGTTAAAATATTTATTCAATAAATTAAAAATCAGACAGAAAATTCATGAGGGTGAGGAATCTAACTAAGATTTATTAGCACCTAGAAGTTTTGTTTGTTTTGTTTTTTGAGATAGAGTCTCAGTATACAGCTGTGGCTGGCCTCTGCTTGCTAAGGGGTACACATGCCTATGCATGTGAGGAGGTCAGAAGATGGTGTCAGATCCTTTGGAATTAGAGTTTCAGATGTTTGAGGGCTTGTTTCATAGGTGCTGGAATTTGAACTCTTGTCCCCATGACTACACAGCAAGCACTCTTAACACCCGAGCCATTTTTCCAGCCCAAGATAGGAAAACTTTAATGTTGAATGACTGAATATATCTGGCTTTCTTGAATCTTACAACATTTTAAAGTCTTCAAAGAATTATCATTAGAGGAAAGCAACCAGAAAATTTTATAACAAACAAACTACCATCAACAGGCCAATAGTGACCTTACCCTGATTAAACATTAACATTCCAAACATGGGTCAGAAAGGATAGAAAGAATTCATTACATCTCAAAATAATGCTCTAGTTAATCGTAAAGTAAAAGTCACTTTTCCCATCCAAAGCTAATCTCAATACCTGTGTCAGAATTCTGCTTCCTCCTACCATATAGTCCTCGAAGAGCTCAGACTTAAAAAAATAAAATAAGGAAAGCCTTTAAAAATACTATATAATACTTCCTCAATTCTATGCTAGACCTTGTATTATTACCTCAACTCCTGTAGCCTGGCTTTTCAGCCCATTCTTTCTGTGACTGCCAAAGTTAATGATGGCCTCCTTTTCACTTCGTCTCCCTAGCCTCTCAGGGGCCTTTTACACCCTGCTTTCCCTTGGGTCACATGTCTCTGCTCTATGCTGATAGTCATCTGAATACCCTACTCTACTTTATCCTCTTCCATCTTTTTGGGGCTCTCTTGCCTAATGCTGTACCTTCCAAAGAGAGTTCCACAGTTCTGCCACAGCCTTTCTGTCTCACTCTCACAGTTGGGGTGCTCATATTCACTCCTATGGCTTAAACTACTTAGGCACTCATGATGACTTCCACGGTTATTTTTCCCATGATCTAATTTTTAGTTTCTATCAGTCAGCTGCAAAAATCAATTACCCATTCCACTCTTAACACAGAGTAGGCTAAGATTTTAAGACTTATTTATCTTATCTGTAGTGAAAACATTTTTTACCTGGTAACATTAGCCGACTGCATTCTGAGGCCTCTGTCACTGGAAGGAGGGATAAGCAAGTAATGTCTTTAGCTTCTGACTCAACTAGCCCCTGTCCCAGTGGGATGGAGGTATTCTGAACAAACTGAACCAGGAGCTAAGGAGAGAAAAAAGGACAAAAACCGAAAAATAGGTTGTTAAGAATCAATCTCAACTTTTTTTTTTTTTTTTTTTTTGGTCTTTTTGAGACAGGGTCTCCCTGTAGCCCCAGCTGTCCTGGAACTCACTATGTAGACCAGGCTGGCCTTGAACTCCGAGAGATCTGCCTGCCTCTGACTCCTGAGTGCTGGGATTAAAAGCATGCGCCACCATGCCTGTCTCAATCTCAACTTTTAAATTTACCAAATGGTGATGATGTAATTAAATTTGTTCACTAATCTCAGCCATATTCACAGAAAAACTAGATTAATTATATTTATCAAATCTTTTAGTCTACAAAAGGCTAATTTGTATAATTGGGTTAATTTCCATCATTTTCCATCAAACAAAAATTACGAAAGTAATTATATTTTTAAATGACAAGCTGAGTTTTTTTTTTTTTTTTTTTTTTTTTTTTTTTTTTTTTTAAAAAAAAAAAAAAAAAAAAAAAAGAGGACGATAAATCTTTCACTGTGATATATCAAAATAAATTATTTTGATATATCACAGTGAAAGATTTATCGTCCTCTTTTTTTTTTTTTTTTTTTTTTTTTTTTTAAAAAAAAAAAAAAAAAAAAAAAAAAAAAAAATCAACTGCACTGTACTGATTACTTCTTACAACACATTTTCCTGAGTAAGTGGTTCATTTAATCCTTACATTAAATCTGAGTGAACACTTATATACATATATTGGGGGGGGCTTTTTGAGACAGGGTCTCCCCTGTATCCCCAGATAGCCTGGAAGTCACTATTAGGATAGCCTTGAACTCAGAGAGATCCAGCTGCCAAGTGCTGGGATTAAAGGCATGTGCTGCCATGCCCGACTAACATATATATATATATTTACAAATGAGAATCAATCTGAAGACATTATGTGACTTGTCTAAAATGACACTAGTTAGAAGCTCTAGTCTTTAAACTTAAGTAATCTGACTTCAAGTTCAGTGACTTTTCTACTATGTAACACGGATTCACCAAAATTAATGTATGAAAAAAATGATTGAAACTATAAAATGCTTAAGTTCTCCAATCAGGTTTAGAAACAAAATGTTTTCAATTAAGTAAAAAAATTAATGAAAGAATGGTTTGTGAAAAAAAAAATATATATACACACATACATATCACATATATAAAAGAAATACATTTGGAGATAAAATAATTTTTCATATAAGTACCTAAATATTTCATTTTTCTACTTCCTTAAATAGCAAATGCAAAAACCCACAAAAGATAAAAATAGAAGAGTTAAATCTTTGAGACTATACTCAGTAACAGAGTTACAATAAAAATCATTTGGCTCCCAAAGTAAAAAATATTTACTATCAAGCCATTAGAGAAGTTTTCTAGCCAATGAACTAGGAATAAACTCTGAAATATAGCCCACCAAAAGAAAACAGATGAATGGGCTCACCTCTGGTTTGGATTCTAACTCATCTGATAACATTGATTCAGCTTCTAAAATCCTGCAGCTGTTCAGGGGACAAGTTCAAATCTAATTCAGAGTCAATGATACCTTCCTGTTATGCTCATATTCCTTCATGAAACAGTTATTCTTTTCCTGTAAGATGCTGAACTAGGTTGGTAATCAATTTAACCTAAAATTGGGGTAAAAAAGAGAAAGACACATCATTAAGCACAATGGGGAAATGTAGCTGAATAAAGGCATATATATATATATATATATATATATATATATAAAATGAAACACAACAAACAAATAAAGA